AAGGGACCTCATGAGCCATCATGTTCAGCTTCTGCTCAAATCCGGACTTCTAGCTAAAATATCACCAACAGGTAGCTGTCTAGCTTCTTTTTGAGAATGTCCAGAGGAGTTCTCACTGCCACTCTAGACAGTTGGTTCTGTTGACAAATTGCTTTTATTGTCAAAAATTTCCTTCTGATGTTCAATCAAGAGCTACTTCCCTATAATTTCTAATCATGAGACCTGGTCCTATCCTCTGAGGCAACAGAGAACGTGCATCTACCTCTTTTTGATAACTTGTGAGGTATATAAAGAATGCAGTCAGGTCATTCTCTCAGTCTTCTCTTCACAAATGATGAACATGACTAGTTATTATTTCACCTTTCCTCGTGGTTCTTATAATCCCCATAGCCTTTTCTGAACTGTTTTAACTTGACAATATCTTTCTCAAAACAAGGTTCCCAGAACACTCCTGATGAGGACTGAGCAATGCAAAATATAGTGACCCTATTGCCCCCAGTGGCACAGTAGGTTAAACCGCTGAGCTGCTAAACTTGTTGACCAAAAGTCCGCAGGTTTGAATCTGGGGAGCAGCGTGAGCTTCCACTGTCAGCCCCAGCTTCTGCCAACCTAGCAATTTGAAAACATGCAAATGTGAGTAGATCAATAGGTACCGTTCCGGCGGGAAGGTAACGGTGCTCCATACAGTCATGCTGGCCACATGACCTTGGAAGTGTCTACTTACAACGCCAGTGCTTCGGCTTAGAAATAGAGATGAACACCAACCCCCAGAGTCAGATATGGGGAAAACCTTTACCTTTACTATTGCATGACTTTACTTGGAAATTATGTTTCTATTAATACACAGTAATAGAATCATATTATTGGCTCTTGTTCAACTTGTGATCAGCAATAATCAAAGGTCCATTTTTATGTATTACTGTATCTCTCATCCTGTATCTGTGTATTTGTGGACTAAATAAAGAATGTTGCATTTGTCTCTGTTCAGATTCATTCTATTAACTTCTTCCCAGTTTTCTAGTTCTTTTGAATTCTGTTCCTATTTTCCTGTGTTTCAGCCATCACTCCTAGTTTAGTGGTATCTGCATAGTTGACAATCTGTTGTTGATAACAGTGTTGAACAACAGTGGCGCTAAAGAGAGAAGTCTGGGACTCTCCACTTGAGACCTCCTTCCAGTTTGAAGTAAAGCCATTGATGATGGTTTAAGCGTGGTTTTCTAACCAGTAATGGGTAGTCGTTAGGAATGTTAGCAGTGATTGCCTTAAAAGTTTTATGTCATCTTTTTGCATAGGCTCAGTTTCAGTGTGCTAAAAAGGCCCTGTGC